CTTTCTTTGTTGTTCGTTCACACATTGCTTCTGTTACTAGCACTAGGAAGCTTGAATTTGCCTCAGTTCGTAGTGCTAGAGTCTTTGATTAATGATCTTCACAATATGTATCTGAGATAGGGGTGATCTTGTTAAATCGCACACCTACTGTTGTTATTTTTATTAGTACCGGAATCATTTTATTTATCACTAAATTGCTATTATTTCCAGAGATGTTTTACGGTGCTTGGGAGGAACCGGTGGTTCCTCCGTTCCTCCTATAAAAATTTTTATCAGCCATCTGATTTAAAAGTATATAACTAAATATAATTAAGGATAGTTTAGTCATTTTAGCGCAGTCATTACCTTTGATCGACATTCTTATCTTTCTCTTTTGCACGCAACACACACGCATCAGCGCCGGAGACGGTTCACCGGCTCGCCACTGCCGCCACTAGCCTGAACGAGGCGCACTGGCGACGGACGTCTGTCCAGGCTCACCATCGTCCACCTCCAGGGGCTCGTCGGCGCACGCCTGCAAGAGCCTGTGGCTTGGCCGGCTGCAAGGGATCGACGCCGCCCGCCGCCCGGTAGGTTGGTACCTGCCTGCCCGCCTTTATGGGGCGTACCGTGGCCGCCCGTCTGTCCGTGGCTCGCTATACCAACTGTCTCAAGGGGCTCGACGGCACTGATCTTAACAGGGGCTGCTCGCCCAAGGGGTCATTGGCAGTGAGATTCCCATCCTTATCCAAGGGAACCGTTCCAGATGAACCACATTCACAACGACAAGATTGATGACTTACGTTTGCTTTTGAATAACTAAACTGATATTAGTTTAGACATGTGGAAATTCTGAGGAATGTATTTATTAGATGCTCAACGTCAACTATCTATGTGTTTGTTCTTGGATTATTCATAACCAATCAACGATTCAAGCCTGAGATGGTAATTGGCAATACTGAATTTTTGGATTCAGACATTTCGGAAGCCTGATGCAAGCTTTAATACAGTCAGTAGAATGAAAAATTTAATTTGTATATATTTTCAATTTATAACTTCTTAGCTTACTGTGAACCAAATCCAGCGACGAGTTCAATGTGCTTCCTCTAATGAACACAGCTACAGTGTTCTCCACTTTATGGGATTCTGAAAGAGAATGCAGACCTAAATTTTTTTTTATTCTTGTGTTTATGGATTTTAGGGGAAGTGATAGATGCCAAGAAGGTCGCGAGCTTCACGGCCTCAATGGCCTCTGTCGCCCTGCGGCCATGGCTTTGGCCGCTCCTACTTTGCTTGAGCGTTGTTGTGCCTGCACCCTGCTCTTCTCCGGCGTGCGCTGCCGTAGCTTATCTATACCTAAATAATTAGGATGAATTCAATTCCAATGATCCAAACGGGGACTAAATGATATTCATGTTTGATGTACAAAAGGTTTCATAAGTTGATTAATGTTCCTTTCAAGAGTTAACCTATATGGTACCTCATTACCAAATGACTAAATAGTCACACACACACATACTCGTTTTGAGTAGAGGTTGGAAACTTTAGTGAGATCTTCCTTTATCAAAAGAGGTTTGTTACTGTGCTTGGGAGGAACCACCAGTTCCTCCCAAGCAAAAAATCAGCGGCCGTTGATCATTAAAAAAAATCAATTAGTTATACTCTCTTATACATAAGGTACTTTAGTACTTTCCTTAAGAGACTTATCCAATCGACTCATGAATAGAATCCTCGAAACTGGAGTTCGTTGCCGGCGTCGCCGTCGCCTGCCTCCTCGGTCGCCGTTTTCCCACAGCCGCCTGTAGGACCTTGCCTAAAGGACTCTCTTAATACTATTTAGATGGAGGAAGTGCTGACAGCAACTAGACTAGGGTTCACTAAACTAAAATCGGCTCCCGGCCCATACCTAAAAGAACCGTGAATTGACTCTGCAGATGGGTTCGGTTTGTTTCATTCAGATTTTAGGCAAATAGGTCCTACAGATGTCGTTAACAGATAACAAGCAGTTGTTACATTGCAGCAGCTGGGCGCTGGCCATCTTTTCCACACTCTATGCATTAAATGTTGTTCTAGTAAGACCCCAAAGGAACCATTGACTTCTTGATCTTGACTGCATAGTGGAATTTTGCCACACTGACAGTAGAAAAGCACGAAGCAGCTGCAAATCCACTGATACTGTGATGTGACGAAGGGCGTGATGTTTCTCTCACGTTTTCCCAACTGTTTGCTTGTTTGAATCTTGTTTTTGCTGTTTTTCTGTATCCACCCTATGAAGATTTTGTAACAGATATATTGCAACTACGTTTCTAAATGTCAACTTTTTTCTTTCCAATATTTCGATCAGATAAAGAGTGGGCTTCTGAAATCTTATCATGCAAGGTTAGGTTGCAGCTATGGGACTCTGGAGCAGCCTGCACATTCAGACCATCAGAAACCTTATATTTTCCCAACATGGTGCCATCATCATACAAAGTGTGTTTTTTTGTTGGCACAACTAAATTCTTGTTGAGACTTTCAAAGGACAACTACACCAAGTACCATTACTAAGAAGTAAGATATTCATGTTGGGCAGCTTCCTAGCCTATTATGATCTCCCATAGTATCCTCGTAGCTCAGTTCATGCACTGGACAAATCAGCAGGCAAGCCAATTTTAGAACCCTTCTATCTCTTAATAATCTATTGATGGAAATACAGGGGTCATTAAAAGGGAAATGTAAGTTAAAGATCCACTTGGAATACTGCTCACGGATGGGGTAGTGCCACCACACGAAATCGTCAGAAAAATGGCATGTAAACGACTCTGAAACTTGGATGTCAGGCTGCTCGCGGCGCGCGTGCCCGCCGCGTCCTACGCACCGGGGGCCGCACTTGCCGGGGAGCCTCCGCGCCAGAGCCTATACCCGGCGAGTTGCGCCGCCTGGGCTAGGAGAGCGAGCTGCAGGAGTCATGAGAGAAGAAGAGGGCGTGCGTTGGGAGACAAGGACCGGAGTACCCATCCGCCCAGTGCTAGGCTCCCAGGGCCTCGTCGGAAATTGGCCCGCCTCGCACGCTACCGTAGCTGATCCACCGCTGCCTCCCTCATACACTTCCTCGGGCTCCGCGCTTCATCTGTGGCCAGTGAATCCACCGCAGGCCGGAGTAGGCCGGAGTTGTGAAGACACCGGCTGGGAATATCCTTGCTACGAGAAAGTACCATGTTACCATCCACGTTTTAATAAGAGCTGGTTTTGAACCTACTAAATTTTGGTTCTGGCCCACAGCTTAAATTTCTCTTAGTAGGTTCCTTCTTTTTTTAACCATCCGGTTTAGCCAAACAGATGGCTCCCATTATTTACAGGCACGGTAAAATTTCTCTTATAAAAAAGGAAATCTCTCTAACCAGGTAGCCAGGTACTCCCTCTATCCCTAATATAGTGCATTCTGTTGATTTTAGGGCAAACTAAGATAAAACATAAAAGACGAATGTACCATCATTTTATTTCCTCATCAGACGCTGTCTTCAACTTGATTAATGGTGATTGGTTGATAAATGACAAGTAATTAACAATATAATTTCTACCAAATTATGCAACTATTTAATTCCAAATTGTTTTCTCTCCCTAGACTTTTTTATACTTTGGTACAATTTTCGAATGCTTGTATGTGCTATATTAAAGAATGGAAAGGGTATGTGGAATGAGAGAGATAATTTCAAAACTAGTACCAATACGAAGCCACACAAGAAGATGGCTTCTCATCATCAAATAATTATATTAATCTAATGAGCATGAGCAGGACAATATGATTTATGTGTTCCTACCACACTTAAAAAGGTTTTTTTCATTACAACCAAAGATTGCAAGAACTAGGATATTAATGAGTAAATTAATTAGCTACATTGCATGCTTATACACATGCAACGCGTGCATCATATCACCGTATTTTCTACGAGACAAGACGACAAGATCGAACACAAGGAGACATATAATAATACATAAATAAATAGATAGATAGTCGCCAATAAGAAGATCAGCCGCTGCAAATTCACGGGGATGCTCGCTTTCTGGATCTCCATCTTGATGTCTGGCATGGATTATTGCTCGGACTCGCAGCGTCCCACCCAAACTAAACAAAGTCGGTACAATTTTTTTAGGGTGATAAAAGCAGTACAAATGTTTTGGTTTTTTTTTAGCAGAGTACAAGTGCTTTGGTGCGGTCAACGCAGCCCGACCGGCCAACCGTGGCAACTGGCATTTGCTATCTCCAGCTTGGCCGGCTAGCTAGTTAGAAATTCGATCAGTATCACTAGTGAACAACAGAACAAAACCATACGCTACTTTTCTATCTACTCTATTAATTCACCATCTTTTTCTTTCCTACGTCCACACTAAAAAAACGTCATCCGCTGAAAGGCCCCTCATCCATACACCTACAAAAATATACCAGAAAAACAACATTATTAAAACGAACTGTCAAGATTTATTTTAAACCTTCTACCTATTTACTCACTCAAATCCAATGGCGTGTCGTCCTCCTCACCCCTCCCATCTCCCGCGCCCGCGCCCGGACCTAGCAGTCACGGTTCAAACCTCAGGTTCCTCAAATTGTCTTTTTTTTCCGTCTCTTTTTCACCCGTGACTCCTCTCGCCTCCCCGGCGCCACGCTATTTCCCCCCGACGCGGCTAGGGTTGCTGTAGTGTTAGCCGGTGCTTCCCTTTAGCCGGCCGCCCACTGGCCCGGCAGGAGAAGCACGCGATGGCTCCTCTCCCCCACGGGCTGACTCCTCCTCTCCCCTACGCGCCGACGGCCACCATGTCTCCGCCGACGGAAGCAGCTGCGGGGCATATGACGCTGGCGGCGGACGCGGCAAACAGGACGCGGGTCGGCGCGGCACCCGGCGACAGGCACTCGCGAAACGTCGGTGGCGGACGCGGCAAGCAGGACGTGCCACCGGAGCAGCGGCGGTCAGCTGATGCCCGCGCCATGGCCGCCTGGATCTGCGCCCCCCTGCTAAGCGCTGGAGATCGCGTCCCGCCACCTCATGGAGCGGTCGCGCCCCCTCGCTATAGATCGAACCCCTGCAGAGACACAGAGAGGTAGCGCACTGCCGCCTGCTCGCTTAAGATCGAGGACGACCTCGCCCGCACCGCCCGTACGTGGCCTCTCCTGGAGTTCAGAGCTCGCTCCTGCCCCTGGCCTTCAGAGGTCATCTCGCAAGGTAAGAACTCTCGAACCGTGGATTAACTACATCTTTTGGGAGCCATATTTCGTTGCTGAGCTAACTTCTAACCATGGATTAACCTGCATCTCCAGCAGCAGCTGTGCAACAAAATTAAGGACGAGACACACCCTCAGTATGAAGTACGAGATACGTCCTCCATGTACGCTGCACACTGATATTCTTTAGATCCTTTGAAATTTTAATTATTTGGACCAAAATCAATTCATGTGCTGCACATTACTTGTAAGTTAAATATTAGCCTCAATATTTGTGTTTTAGCTTTGCTTATTTGTTAGTAATGATGATAAATTATTTGTTGAAAGTTAAATGAATGAACTGAATGAACGTGATTCAGATTATAAGAGATAGTATGTTCAACTATTAAATTTCTTAGTACATCTACCGATAAGCACAGCAGTACAGCACAGTCTCCTCTCCGTCATACGCGGCGCCCCTCCCCCACCGAGATCTGCGAAGGATGGTGGCGGTGGCCCATGGCCCCAAGCGGTGGTGTGAGATCCCCCAAGCGGCGGAGCGAGATCCCCCAAGGAGCGGCACGAGATCCCCCAAGCGGCAGAGCGAGATCCCCCAAGGAGCGGCACGAGCTCCCTTGGCGGTATGGTTGAAGTAAGCACCCTTTCTCCTCCCTTCTTGTTGTGCCAAGCCGAGCACTAGATGAACCCTAGCTTAATTTATTTGACAATTTGTATTTCGATCTGATCTAATCACAAGCCTATGCACGCATTAATTCTACTACTAGATAGTTTTTCTGCGATCTTATTAGCACTAGCAGGCTGTAGAAACCATGCTAATTTACTTGTCTGTGACTGTAAATGTTTCAATTTTGTGTCAGAATTCTTAAAAAGAGCTTCTTAGTTCAGTTCTTGGCTAAGCCTTTTGCTATATAAAATGAAACATTTTATTGATAATACTGTACCTCTATATTCTTATCGGCAGGTGGAAGATTTTGGCAACACATTATTTTGGTGATAGAAATATTTTGGTTGTTTAATTTGCGTTACCCTAAATATCTCCGTAGTGTTGCCCTTGGGTTACCAAACCTAGCTATAGGCGTTGTGGGTCCAGGGCTCGAAGGTTTTTCGGAAGTCAAAGGGGAAAGTGCAATAATAATAGTTTAGTTACAAAGCTGATCGGTTTTCACCAAATTATAACGATATCAACGAGGGTTTGTTTGGAAGCAAAATCCTCTGGTCAACAATATTTTAGGAGAGTAACTCTAACCATTCGCCAGGGACCCCGGCGCCGCAGCGGCATGTAGACAGCCCAACGCGGTAAGGGCCGCGGCTGCGTCAGGAAGAAGAGAAGCAGAGACGGCGATGGCGAGATTGGTGGCGCCGGCAAGAAATGCCGGGTTGACGAGGACTATGGCGATGGCGAGATCGGCGCCGGCAAGAGATGCCGGTTTGGCAAGGACTACAACGATGGCGAGACCGGCGACGGCAGGGGAGATTACAACACAAACGGCGACGAGAATGACAACAACGGCGACTCCACTAGTGACGGTGAGGATTCGATCTACTACTACAGCGACGATGACGAGGAGACGGAGGCCTTCGGTGCCAAGGCAATCGAACCCGCCGAGCAGAGGTACATCGTTCTGAGCCAGGACGCTATCAGCGCGCGGCAGGAAGCGGACATCGCCGAGGTCGCCGAGGTGCTGTCTGTCCCGCCGGGCTTCGCCGCAGTCCTGCTGCGGCACTACAAGTGGCGAGCGATGCGGGTCCAGGAGGAATGGTTCTCCGACGACCGGCGCATCCGCCACGCCGTCGGCCTGCCGGCGGACGGCAGCGTCCTCGTGCCCACGGCGCTCAGCCGCAGGCCCCTCGTCTGCGCCATCTGCTTCGGAAGCTTCCCCGCCGGCGGGACGAGGCCCGCGGCGTGCTCCACCCACTTCTACTGCGACGCGTGCTGGCGCGGGTACATCCGCGCGGCCGTGGAAGACGGCCCGCGGTGCCTGTCGCTGCGGTGCCCGGACCCGTCCGGCTCGGCGGCCGTGGTGCGAGAGCTGGTCGACGAGGTGGCCGCCGCCGAGGACAGGATCCGGTACGCGCGGTTCGCGCTGTGGTCGTTCGTGGACGAGAGCGGCGGCAGGGTCAAGTGGTGCCCGGGACGCGGCTTTTCGCGCGCCGTGGAGTTCGTCGGCTGCGCTGGCGACGCGACGGACGTGTTCTGCGAGTGCACGCACGGATTCTGCTGGATGGAGCTGCGGCGAGGAGGCGCACCGGCCGGTGTCGTGCGACACGGTGCGCGCGTGGCTGGCCAAGAACGTCTCCAACTCGGAGACGGCCAACTGGGTGCTGACCCACACCAAGCTCTGCCCTAAGTGCCGCCGGCCGATCGAGAAGAACCAGGGGTGCAACCACATGATGTGCAGCGCCCCCTGCTACCACCACTTCTGCTGGATCTGCCTGTCGAGGCGATGTGAATGCGGTAGCTACCGGGGGCGGGCGGACAAGGTCAACGCCGGCGGCAAGGACGAGCGACGGCGGAAGCAAGCCAGGGCGTCGTTGGACAGGTACCTGTACCACTACGAGCGCTGGGCGGCCAACCACACGTCGCTGCAGATGGTTTTCAAGGACATGGCCGACCTGGAACGCATGGGGCTGGAGAAGATGGCGAACAAGGTGCGCGCCCCGGCCAGCGATCTGAGGTTCCTGACCAAGGCGTACGAGCAGGTCGCCGACTGCCGGCGAGTCCTGCGGTGGGCGCATGCGTACGGCTACTTCCTGGACCCCAAGCGACGCCATCAAGCGCAATCTGTTCGACCAACTTCAGAAAGACGCCAACAGTTCGCTGGAGCGCCTGCACGGCTGCGCCGAGGTGGAGAGGAAGGAGCTCTGCGCCGGCGACGCGGCCGACGTCGCCGAGAGGTACAAGAGCTACAAGAAGAAGCTTGAGAGCCTCACCAAGGTGACGCGGCACTACTTTCGAGAACCTCGTGAAAGCGTTCGAGACCAACCTGGCCGAGGTGGAGACGACCGAGTAGGGCACGGATGGATTCCAAACCCATGCTATCTTTCATCAGATTTATCGCATTCAAGACTTAATAAGTGTGTTATTCAGTTTAGCTTCACTCACTCATTCTTTTGTGTCTGTATAATTTTGGAAAATCTCCCCCATACACATCCATGGATTCAAGACTTAATTAGTGTGCTATTCGGTTTAGCTTCATTCACTCTTTTGTGTCTGTCGTTTTGGAAAATCTCGCGTACACATCCATGCCATTGCTTTATTCCCTATGGTTACGAGTGACCGCAAATCTCACTCTAAGAGGGACCATAGCCAAAAGATCGTTCATAAGACTAACCGGAGTATCTCTTGAAAGCAACTTCATCGACTTACCAATAGTGTTGATTGTGACTTTTTGCCGTATATACTACGTACTACTAAAACTAAACGTTCTCCTAATATTCTTGTCAGCAGCGGCGGCTGCGGCGCTGGTGGTGATGTGAACACGTTGTTCGACACCTCCATGACCATCTCCGGGGTATTGGCGGAGTGCGGTTCCTCCATCTTGTTGTTGAGGAAGGATTTGCCGACGTCTAGCATGACGTGCTTGGTCTCCGCTTCAAGGCTGGTGATGGCGTTCTTCTGATTCAATCTAGCATGGATGCCGGTGATGATGGCGCCACCATGGGTGTGTGCCCTCTCAATGGCGTGCAGGCGCGTTTCAGAGTGATGAGCTGATGATGCATCTCATCCAAATTCTTGCGAAGGTCATTGGCGAAGGTTTGGAGCAGCTGTTGCATGTTGGAGGTGGTGGAAGCCATGGATCGTCTGGTCTCCGATACCAGTGTAAGAGCCCAGCAGGGAGGGGTAGCATGGGGGCAATGGCTAGGGTTGGAGGGTGGCTGTGGGCGTCAGGCTAGGGAGGAGAGGCGGCGGCAGAGAGGAGACAGGCACAGGGAGAGGGAGGACGATGGTAGGGAGAGGAAGAGGGGTAGGGGAAGGAGCAATTGCTCTGTTCTTACTTAGATTAGATTTATTACATCTCCGCTATATTTATAGTCCCTATATGATTTCTGTTCCAAGCAATCTATTTGAGAAGTCATTATAGATTGGATCTTCCCTTCCTAAACAAAACAATCTATCTAATATTATTCCTTATACTAAGATTCTATATTATATTCCTTGGGTGCTAAGGTGGGGGCATGCTACTTGTGTTCACGGCCCTCCTGGGCCTTCGCCGCCCCGTCTCTGGGCGCGCCCTTCCTGGTGGCGCGATTTGGCCAGGATGTGGCCACCATGGACCTTTCTTGGGCCTCTAACCCCCCTTTCCTGGACCCTCCATTGGACGTATGACATGGGGCTTTGATAGTTGTACGTCAGTGAAAAATCTCTCCACAAAGCAATAAGTCAATAGTGGGCTTTGGAAAGAATTCTCATATACAGCTTCCCACTGAGCGTACTAGATACCCAACATTTTCACTATTACTCTAGGCAAATCATGATGCGGCAATATAGCGAACACCACCACGAGCTAACCCTATGGGGTCTTGCTCATGTATGTCACACACATGTTCAACAATCTCCTCCTTCTCCGAGGCCCAAATATTGTTTTCCATTTTACACTGAACATCCATATTGCATAGGGACTCTATGGTGCCATGTTTCTGTGGTAGCCAACCGCCACAAGAAGACTCAGATTTTAAACGATACTTGAACTTTCCACAGTGCGGTCCATGAATGTTTCCATGGATGGAACATATCCGTTTAGATTGATTCATCAGGCTTATAAGGGTGCATTAGTCTAAGATTCGATTAATCTTAAATAAATCTTACTTCAATTTTGTGCGGTTGAAGATCCCATGCCTACGTTCTCTTAATACTTGAGATCGATGCTGTGTATAAGACAATGTTGACATGAAATTAGCACTTGGAGTAAGGTCAATTTTTTAAGCCTAAGTCAGTGCCAGATTAGATGCAAAAGACACGCATCAACGTGCAAATACCATAGGGTTCCACGGTGTTTTATAATTTCTGCATTTCAAAGGAGGCCTAAAGCTTTAAGCCTCGGATTAGAAGCCGTTTCTAAATAATTAGCTCAGTTAATCCTAAATAAACATTATTTCCATAATCCTCATTTAGAGCTTGGGTTTCATTTAACTAATCTCGGATTAGTATGAATCTCAAACAATAATGATTCCTTTCACAAGATCAGAAATCGCCTCGGAAGTCGCCAACCCCTTCCGCAGCTCCGCTACACCTTCACGTAGATGCGGAGCCCGTATTTCCTAATGGGCCATTTATGGGCCGGGCGCACTGCCAATTCCAGCGCATAGAGATGACCTACAGGCCCAGATCATGCTGCTTGCCATCGGATGTGCGATGGACGGCTTCCAGCTTCCGGCTTCCTATCTCCCAGCATCGCCAGAGCATCTAGACCCGAGACAGAATCCCTTCAAATAAGGAACTGAATTTGCGATAGATATAGCACCCTCATCTAAAACCCTCCGCCTCCATCAGAACTCGGCGGCACGACGGCGATGGGGGATGCTGACAACGATGACGGCAGCGACGACTGCGGAGGGTACGAGTACGACGAAGACATGGCCGACGGCGAGGACGACTACGCGTTCGAGGACACCTGCGACTACGACGAGGTAGAAACCACGGAAGTGAACGCCGACGACGGCGAGGAGAAGGAGCAGAGGTACGTCGTCCTCACCGAGGACTCCGTCCGCGGGCGGCAGGAGGCGGAGACGGCCAAGGTCGCCGAGATCCTGTCCATCCCACAGGGCTTCGCGGCCGTCCTGCTGCGCCACTTCAAGTGGAGCACGGCGCGCGTCCAGGAGGAGTGGTTCTCGGACGACGGCCGCGTCCGCGCCGCCACCGGCCTGCCGGCGGAAGGCGGCCTCCCCGTGCCGACGGCGGTCTGCCGGGCCGAGTTGCCCTGCGCCATCTGCTTCGTGGAGCACCCCGCCGGGGAGATGAGGTCGGCGGGGTGCGCCCACTACTACTGTGGCGAGTGCTGGCGAGTCTACATCCGCCGTCGTCTAGGAGCTCGTCGACGTGGCCGCCGACGCCAAAGACAGGGAGCGGTACGCGCGGTTCACGCTCCGGTCGTTCGTGGACGAGGTCACACTACTAGAGAACAGACTTGAGAATGATGTCCCAATTTGACATTAGTCTCGGCATTTTTTTTGTCTCCGGAACTAAAGGACCGTTTAGTCCCGGTTGGTAATACCAACTACCAATCGGGACTAAAGGTCCCTGCCCAACGGTCCTCCGTGGGGCAGGGATCTTTAGTCCCGGCTGGTATTACCAACCGGGACTAAAGGTTTATCTTTAGTCCCGGTTTGGACCCCTAACCGAGACTAATTATCCCGGCCTATAATTCAGCTCATTTCTTCCTCCCCGAGCCCGAGCCGTTGCATTCAAACTCACTGCCTCTGTTCTTCAGCTTGCTGTTGTTTTTGCTCTCTCCCCCTCCATTGGTGTTGCTCTTCGATTTTGGAGGTAAGAAACTTAATCCTCTTATGTTTTGTCAGTAGCTTATCTCATTTTGCGATGTAGATGCATGTGTAACTTTATATGTTGGACTTTATTATGATTTTATATGTCATTTTTAGCTCAAAATCACATGATGATTTGCATATATGTTTGGATAAACAAAAGTTAAATTAGTTCATCAAAATCACGCCTCGCTCGTCCTCACTGGAGCACGCGCCATCCTCGTCCCCGGTGGCTTACGTGATCTTAGAATTAATTTTTTCATGAAATGAAAAACTTAGAAAATTGTTAGACAATTGTAGAAAATCCGTACTAGTTGAACTTGCGGACCGTGTTCATCTCGGCGAGCATGTTCTCTGCCGAGCGGTAACGGACGTCAAGGAGGAGCTTTGATTATACGAGGGAGAGCGGCAACGGTCGTGAAAGACCGTGTTCCCTTTCTCGTAGAATCGGAGCTCTTACTTGGCCAAGTACGGTGCCGTCCGGTGGAGAAATGCTCGCGAGATGATCACGTAAGCAAGGTCAACTAGTACGGATGATTATTTATTGAAACATGTGAAATTTACACTAGTTTGCAAAAATAAGTATAGAAAGTAGATGACAACTGGTACCGGATCCTCGGCCTCTCGTTCGGTTGCGAAACGACTGAGGCCAGAACTCCCTCTCATTATCTGCGGCAAGTGTAAGCAGAAGATTGTGATGGAGTACCAAGTCAAGAGACAGGGACCCAACAAGGGTCGTGTTTTCTACAAGTGCCCGGATCGCGATGTGAGTTTCTTACGCATTTTTTATTTATCCGCTCCTAATGTTAGTTTTGTATCTGATCGTGACAAGAACCTAGCTTGGAGAGATATCACTCAGCATTTCACA